ATTTGGTCACTTTTGTAATTTTCACCTCATTTCAAATTACATAATCGACTCTCAGATTTCAATCTGTCAGAAATCGCGTATTTCGATGTATCTAGTTTCTGACAGGTTGAAATCTATCATTTCTTATTACTATAGCTACTCCTTCGTATTGTGTCTGAAGTTTAGTCATATCACAGGCCATATTCATATCGAATCATATGTCTATAATCATAGTCGAATCTTATATACTAAACAATATATATAAATAAAATGTAAATAAAATATAGAATATTTTCTAACTGAAGTAGATATTTGTTATTTCCGTTATTTGTAAGACTGAAATCCTGGAATTAAATCATGAATTAAAAAAATAAAAAAAAAAACAAATTTAACTTTTATCTTTTCAATTACTTTTTTTTATTAACTGAACTTTTAATTCAATTAATTTCATTATAAATTAACTTGTATCTTAACTAAGTTAAATTTTCAAGATTGTTAACTATAACTTAACTTAGTTAAAAAAAAAAAGTTAACTTACCCAACCCTGGTAAAAAGAAAGAACTGAGAAAGAAATATTCAGTAGTCAAAACAAACTCGTAATTATGTCGACATTAATAATAGATGAGCAAAATGCTCATTTCCTTCCAAATGCTTCCCTCCTTTTCTTCGACTGTCCGACCTCGTCGTATTTTTTCTCTTTTCGCGAGGAGAGTCTCCCGTCGTTTGGCGGACGGCCAGACCCCGAAAACGCGACGCACTCACCGAGGACACGCCGACTAACGGTTTTAGACACGAACACGTTGAAATACGGCCCTGAGAGTACCAGCATGCAAGTCAAGCTTTACGCACGTGCTTCCCGTCCGGGAATGACGACGTTCTTTGCTTTTAATGTGACTCGAAATCACTGTTGTCAGAAATCCATATATATATATACCTTGGATATCGATATTCGTGAGTTTGATAGCAGAGAAATGATAGCGCGCGAGAAATGGAATCTCATTAGAGAGTTTTTGCAATGCCATTTATCCAGACACGTTATCTTTTTCTTAACTAATTAAGAAAAGAATAACGTGACTTCACCGTATCTGGATCCACGTTATTGCAAAAACTTCCTATTGACTAGGGATGCACCGGATTGTAAAATTACCGGATACCGGATATCGGATATCCGGTATCCGATTGGATATACAATATTTTATACGACATTTTCCGGATGTTCGACCGGATTCCGAGAGTGTCTTCTAAAAAAAAGGTCTATAGAGAAAAAGATTATAATTTTGTAACACAGTGTATAAGATATTATAGCATTATGAATATGCATACTTATTTCTAGAACATTTGTATAAGAAAAAATCAACAATTTAATGATATCAAATGATCAAATTTCAACCGGATATATTCCCAAATATTAATAATATCCGGCTATCCGGTCGGATACCAAATAAAAAAAGTGCCGGATAATATCGGATACCAGATACTTTCCAGATCCGGTGCATCCTTATCATTAACCTTTGATAACCTTAATGGAAACGCATAGTATACTAAGAAAAAAGTGTTTGATAAATGGTAAAATAATTATTGTTATAGGAATTCCGTTTTTATAATTTTTACTATTGTATAATATTAGTAATAATAATTATATTTATAGTTTTACCAAAGAAAATATATGATATCTAAAAGATTATAAATTAGAAAATAACTATTAAATTATAGTAATTGCAATTTATTCTCTCAATGTATAAGATCGGAGAGATACTTACGTTTAAAAGTAATATGTACAATTTATACGTAAACGGCGTGGTACGAACGAAAGAGGAATTGTTACAAGGAGCGATCGAAAGTAAACAGAACTAATAACTGAAGATGCGAGGCTCCGATATATATAACCATCGAGTTTTTTTGAAAATTTTCGAAACTACAATGTCAATGCTCGATTACAACAACAGTCAGCCGTTTTGTTGACACATCTCGAGTGTATTATTACAAATCAATATTATTCGATCGTCGTGTCTCTTATCAAGTCTGTTATTTGACGATAAATCATAATGAATATGATTAGCTCTAAATAACTTGTGTGCACTGAGAGAAAAATTGTTTGTATTTGTAACTATATATAATTACTCCTACATATTACTACACGGAGAAAACGATTTTGCTAAAGTATCCAATAATTTAGCTAGATACAGACCTGAAAATAATTTTGTTAAATCATCAAAATTTGTAGATAGGACATTCAAACTGATTGCTAGAATGTCAACAATTTTTTAACATTCTGGCAATCAGTTTGAGTGTCCTACCTAAAAATTTTGATGGTCTAACAAAATTATTTTCAGGTCTGTATTTAGCTAAATTATTGGATACTTTAGCAAAATCGTTTCTTGTGTGTATAATTATGGTTATAATTATTGTAGTATTAGTAATAATAACTATATATATAGTTCTATTAACCAATATATATATTTGGCAACCGAAAATGATTATAATTATAGTCATTATAACTATAAAAATGCTTTACGGAGAGAATTTTCTTTCAAAATTTACTCTTAAAATATGGTAGTTGTACAATCTAATATTTTTAAGATTTTTACCATGCATTTCAATAAAATTAATCAAATTTATTTTCTTGTATTTTATTATAGTTTTATTAATAAATGAGAGAGATATAAAATTTTTCAAAATACATTGCGTTGTCTCACGATTATATATATATTTATATTTTCGTAGTAAACTCTCAGAAATAATTCTCTCCGTGTTGAAATTACCATAAAAAATTATTTAAATGACTGTGTAATTATAGTTATTCGAATCACTTTTCATGGTAATTGAGTATAATTTGACATTATAAATTTAAGATGGTTAAAGTAAAGTGCTGAAAATTTGGGGTGTCTCACCCAAAATTACAAAGGTCTGTATAATTTAAATCTGGATAAAATATTAAAACTACGCGTATATCTTAATGAAATATTATGGAACATACGATAGTAAATCAAGAGCTGCATCTTCATCGAACGAAAACAAGATGAGATTATGTTTACTTTTCGAACTTAAAATATGCAAGTTTATGCACGTAAATATCTTTCCAGAATGGCTGTTGATCTATTAATTTTTTGACCATTAAAATCGTAATTTTTTAAACTGTTATAATCGTTGTACACTAATTTAATTTAAGTATTAAAGTGAAATGCAAATATTTCGAACTATAAAATATATATTTTACTCTCTAAATCTGAATCAGCGAATAGTCACTAATTACTCAGTGGCATACTTGGCACTGATAAGTGATAATCAGTGAAGTTCAACTAAAAAAGGAAGAATGTTTGAGCATTATACAACTAAAATACTGATATTTGCATGTTAATATCAATCTTCCAATATCATATTCATTGAATTTAAGCATAAAACAAGGTTGGTTAGATCACATAATAAAGATTAGGAATCTCACATTTAATTCACTGATTACTAGTGGCATACTTAGCACTGATATCAGTGATTATTCACTGATTCAGATTTAGAGAGTACCTAATAGTACAATAAAATGTATTAAATATTTCAGAATTTAATCGATTTTTATATTTTATCTAGTTTACATATAAACATATCTTTACGTTATTTTGTGTACGACGGCTTTAATGTGCATCAATGCATCCAATCGAATTTGCTATACGTTATTCGTGAAAGGTTACATTTTCAACATTTTTTTTCTCTCTTATTTCATCGTTAAACCATAGAATTTTGCACACATCAATTTCGATACTTCAACTTCATTATATA